TTAATCACCATTTATATCACATTATTATTAATATCACCATTTATATCATTAATCACCGTTACATTAACCACTATTATCCATCTATAGGATGGGATCATCACTTCGTTTTTTCGCGGCGCGTGGCGGCGCCTCGCCAGGACTTGGAGGCATTGCTGCAGGAACTCATGACCGAAAAGGGCGAAGCCATGCGCGAAGACAGCGTCAAGGCGGCGACAAAAAACAGCGATGGACGAAGGAGAAAATGATCGTTTAATAGGATCTAATGGGATTTAATAGGATTTACCCTCTGGCAAACTAACATAACTATGGAAAATCACCATTTTTAATGGGAAAATCCACTATAAATATCTATAAATGGTCATTTTCAATAGCTACGTTAAATTACCAGAGGGTAATATTCAGATGAATATTCAGAAAATAATATTCAGATCATTTTTCATGGACATATTCATGTAAAGAATAATATTCAGAATGATTAATATTAATGGTGAAATCTCATTAATATGTTGAATGAAAATAGGTAAAATGATGATGAATGAATCTGAATATTAATGCAGAGTAATGATGATGATTAATGGAACATGTTATTTTGATGTATTTTGTTCAAAATAGGTAAATCAGCTGATCTATAGTTGGGCATAATTGGGGTATTGTCTACAGCTGTTTTAATTTGTCACAATTGTAAAGTGATGTTTTCTTCTTGAATATGCAACTCAAAAATCATAGATGTTACTTTGTGAGATGGCTTCCAAACAGATCGCTGCTTTCATCAAGGGGGGATTTCAGCAGTTTCTAGGAGGAAAGAAAACCATCAGAAGTTGAGTTGTTTTTGGGTCTCTCCACAAGGTGGGAAGAATTACTAATGACATCTACTGAATGACTATATATAGACAAATATCTGAGGGTTGTTGTAAAGTATCCGACGTATCCGAGTTCCAAAATCTCTGGTTGGGTTTATTGCAACCTGGGTTGCACTTTCCCTTGGATCATGGATCTTGTGACATCCCAAGTGGTCACAGAGGCAGCGCTGAATGAGAAGTTGGCGGAGCGCAAGGAGGGACATCATCTAAATCTGGTTGGTGGTTTCGAACATTATTTATTTTCCATAATATATGGGATGTCATCCTTCCCATTGACTAATATTTTTCAAGATGGTTAAAACCACCAACCAGAAATTCATGGGGATTCAACCCTCCCAGAGGGGACCCAACAATTGCTGGTTAGGCTTCGCCCCTTGGTGGTTGATAAGCCATGACAGAATCCCAACAGTTGGGGGGTGAACCACCTCTTTTTTAGGGCTTGGTTTTAGCATGAGGAGTATAGTATACATCTATGATTTTTGTTTAGATTTTTTTTTGCCTGGTATTCTGAATAATGCATAGATGCCCATACATGATTGTTCAGTCCAGTCAGAGTGCCTAACATTGTTCATTCCCTGTACCCATGTTCTTGTTGTTCTTGGGCCAATTTTGCTGGGAAAGGGTCATCTTCATATTCAATCTATTCCAGGCTGGGTGCTGGGTGTAGTTTGATGGTTTCTGATCTCACCGTGGTTCGTTCAGATGCACAGCTTCGAGACGATCTCTGCTGTTGGAATGCTCGGCGCTGCTGTTGTTTTTCCTGGATCAAATCAGGTATGGCACGCAATAAAAACATGGTTGGTGCTTTGGAACATGGCTTTTATTTTTCCATATATTGGGAATTTCATCATCCCGACTGACTTTCATATTTTTCAGAGGGGTAGGTATACCACCAAGCAGAAAATTAACCAAGTTGTTTCAGATGTTCAGTTCAGATGGGTTTCTCCAAAGCTGGTGTATCTCCCCGTGCCATCCATGGATATTCTACAATTCACAATTGTGAATCATCACATTGGCCGCTAAATTGCAGAAACGTCACTTGCCATTTTGGGCTAATTGCAACAGTACCCTCTGGTGATTTAACATAGCTATGGACAATCACCATTTTCAATAGGTAAATCATCATAAATCATCTACTGTATAAAAAATTGGTGATTTTCCATAATTGCCCTATTTTTAGTTAAAGCCAGATTGAAAGATGTTTCAATTGACCTTTAGTGAAAAAAATGCTAAATAATCCAAGAAATTTAGTCAAACCCTAATTGACCTTTGATGTTATTTTGCTAATTGGCTAATTGTTGGGATGGTAAAAACCATCTATTGATTCATCAAACCATCTAATTGGGCAAATTGTCATCTAATTGACCTTTGGTGTTACTTTGTTGGGATGACCTTCACATGGTGACCACGGCGAGTGCAGGAGCAGTTGATGAACGACTCTGAGTTCTCCTCTGCGATTCGGGTGCCTTCGGCTTCAAGGAGCTGCACATTTACAGACAGATTGGTATATATGTGTAATATATATATATATATACATGAATATGTGTATATAGTTACCTCAAGAAAGATAGAAAAGTGAACATCTGTTTAACTGTTAAAATAGTGCTAAATCACTTTTCTTTTATTATTGTAGTTCCTATATGTACTATTTTTCATGACCCATGATTCATTGACAAGTAACCAACACTGGAGATTTGAGCAGCTATCATGGGGGTACAATGGGAATATCATGGGTATGTAAGCAATGATGCTCTGGTTGGTGGTTTGATAATAATCACTATAATGGGAATATAATGGGTATATAATGAATAATAACAATATATATTAATGGTTGGTGGTTTGACATACATATTGAGTCATATTGATTATTGTCCATCCGAGAAATGGGACCATGACCCGCATTGAACAAGTTTTTGTTCAGGTTTCTGTTTCGAATCAAGGGTAACCCGTGATCACATGATTTCATGTGCATGGTTGCACCGAGTTTGTTTATATATATACTTTAAGATTGTTTGGCAGTCTCATCGCAACATAGTCATGTAGGTCATGATTCAATAATTCAGATTCCAATTTGACATGTTTTCAATCCGTGGATATTCCGATGTTTGGTCGTTTCACTTGGAGAACAACAGACATTTCATCGCACACTGTTCATCTATAGCATTCTCATGCATTCTCACAGAAATGCGGCAGTGTGTCAAAACCTTGTACCCCTGTAGTTCACATCAAAATAGCTGGTAAATGGATGGTCATTCCCCTAAAAATGGTATTAATAGGTATTGATCCATACCCAAATGTGGCATTTCATTGCTCCAATCTGTCTTTTCGTTTTCGTTGTGACATATTGGTGCCCTGTCCTAAGGCAGCAGAACAAGCTGGCATCTTGCGACGGCACATGAAGATGATTGAGCCGGCAGGCTGGTCCTTTTAGTTGGGGAAATCCCCGAAGAAAAGGCGGTATTTTCCATGGGAAAATCATCTACGATACATGCTGGGTGTTCCCGTGTTATCCTTGTCATGTTTGATATGTTTGATGTCATGTTTGATTGTGGTAAATTGGCAATGTATCCAACACATTCCAACACCACATACTGCTTGATGTCAACCCTGAAATTAAGATCTTCCCCCTTGTAGAGGCGTTTCTTCGGAGTAGTTATAAATTAAATGATTTAAATGGTACCCCCACAATCAAACAGCCTGGGTGTTTATTAATCCGGGGTTGACATTGACCAAAAATAGGGGCACCAGCATTGCCAAGATCACTTGATGGAAAGCGCGACATGATTGCTTGTCGGATTTGTGTTTACTTTTTGCGAAGGGCCACCATTTCCAGTCCAGGAGAGGTTGAAACCACTGGTTGATCCACGGCCGGAATTTTGTTCTATTACTGATACAAAATTGGCCATGATCGCCGAATGAGAGGTTTGTTCATCAGGTTTAAGCATGTTCCTATACAGTATATCTCTCTATGTGTTTTTTCTTTCAGAATTGGCGAATGGATGTCACCACGTGCCAACCGAGCAGCCAGGACCTGTTTCAGGATAAAAAAAGTATCGTGGTGGTGGAGCAAATCTGTTTTTTTCTCGCCACTTGGCGTTGGGTTCACGGTGGATTCTCCCAGTCTGCCCGGGCGTCGTGTTCGTTTTGAAAGGTGTTTCACTTGTGAAGATGACCGGGTAACCCGGTGGTTTTACATATTATATCATATTATCTTGCATCCAAAAAAAAAATCGGGAGGTGATTCACGCATTTGCCAAAACTGTTTGGGGAGGGTTTAGAAGCACCAGCCTGCCTTTGGTTAAGTCGGTTAAGTGCTGTAATTTTGATCTGTCCGTTGTGGATACGCACTGATGTGGGTATGGTTTAAACACATTTTCAGACTCTGTTACCCAGGTTTTCACTTATCCATGCTTATCCCCCATTCATATGATTGCCTATACGATCAAGACGGATGCCATCCAGTACAGAATGCAGATAGTATACCACAGTACCACTTCAGTGCTGCTAAGGCCTTTGACTACGGACAGTCGATGGTGCTGACTGTCGGGGAAGCCAATGAGAGATTTCTAGGTCTATTGGAGCCAATGGGCACAAAGCCGCACTTGTTGCACACAAAAAGATGAATCGGATATTTTCTTGGACCATGTTCTGGGACCTGCAACAAAAACCACCAATTTCTGATAGTTGATAGATGGTATATAATCCCATTATTTACAGTGTTTCATAGCTACCTAATAGTTACCAACTGGTGCAGGATTTGGCAGTATCTTGGGTGTTAAACACCACTGTTCCAAGCTGCAACACTGGCGCGGAGTCTTTGCGGGGGATTCTGGGGAATCCTGGTCAGCGACCCCACAGGACGCAGGAGCCCCTGTGGCAGGATAGAAGAAAGGGCGACAATTTTGCGGCGCTTCGCAAAGGGATGTCTGGAAGTCCCGATGACTTTGTTTTCTCAGTTTTTTGCTGTACACATCCTTTAAACAAAATGTGTTTACTGCTGAAATATCGCAATTTTGAGCTTGATCCGGCAAGAGTGCAAGAGTGGTGTTGATATGCTAAGTGGCCGGCAGACTGATCAAAAACCTCCAGCTGAATCCAACATCGAAGCATTTGGATGGTGTGTTTGTCCTGAAATACCAGGGACTTCAATGGGAATTGGCGCAGTCTTTGCTAATGAAGCAGGGGGGCCCAGTGCGACCTGCAGAACCTGGTGATTCTTAGGCTTTGATTCAGTGCCTCCAGGATGGATCAATGACCTAAACTGATAGAAAGCATGATATCCAAGGGGAAATCCCTCAGTTCGTCAGCTCTCTGGTTTTTGTTGGGGTACCCTCTGGTTATGTCAAAATAGCTATTGAAAATGGCCATTTATAGTGAGTTTTCCCATCAAAAATGGTGATTTTCAATAGCTATGTTAAATTACCAGAGGGATCCAGAGGGTAATGTATCCAATTTAATCTCTCATAAAGATCGATAAATCCAATGAACAGAACACTTATTCTGGGCTTGTCTCAAAACAGGCTGTTCCATATTATGTTCACCCCCTAGCCAAACAAACCCATGTTCTCCGTCCTTTATGAAAATTTGAGGGGATTCATCGATGTTTTGTGGCATATTTGTAAATGTTTTCCGTTCAATCCCCAGCTCACCAGAGCCAGAGGGTAGAGGATTTCTTTAAACATATAGTATGTATTCATTGATATTCCCATATATTTCCATGATATAAATCATATTTGGTCCCCATTTTTTAGCCATGGAAAAAGCAGATTTTCACCAGACTCTCGCCCCAGATTTTCTGCCAGGATTTGTCAAACCACCCTGCGACGCGACGCTGTCAGCCTCACGACGGCCTTGAACAGCTGGGAGAAGGCGAGCGCCAGTGCCGTTGCGGAGTCCCAAGCGAAATGGCCGTGTTTTTTTGGTTGATTCAGGCTGGAAATGGGTATGGGTCAAAATTAGGTACCCCAATAATTGGATGGTTAATACTAAACTAGACTAACATCTCTGGTTCCCTAGGTCTTCCATTTTGACCCACATCCAAATATTCGAAACATGGGGCAGTTTTGAGGCGCTATGATTTCGCCAAAAATTTTGCCTTTTCCCCGACAGGCAAGTGTCAATAGGTGGTCGAAACAGCAACTTCGTTGCCAGGGTGCCTACTGGAGAGCTGCGTTGCACTCACTGGGTAAGGACGCCGCTTGATTTTAACCTCGCTCCCACATGTTCGATATAAACGTCGTGCGCTACCTGTAGAAGTGTCCACGCTTGATATCATTGATCAAACCTGTTCGATCAGACATGATTTCATGGTTCCTTTTTCACCTGTGAACTGTGAACCGTCCAGACGTTTCCTACTTGCTGGGGAAGCCAGCTAAGAATCAAATCATTCGAACATGTTCAATCCCCGTGGCTTGAACCTAAACATTGCACCTCCACTTTGTCTTTTAGTCAATGGTCTGATTGATGGCTGACTGCTTCTGTGCCTACCAGGAGTTATCCCATGGGTCCTTCCCCGGAGCAACTTGACGCAGATACTGCTGTGTTTGATGTCCTGCTGCATCCACATTTGCCACTACTAGTTCCCACAGTATCCCACTGTTTCTGGGATATTAATTGTATCAGGCCAGTCTCTTACATGACAACATGATATGGAGTGCAGCTTTCCATACTTGCTTGGACAACAGATTAAAGGCAACCATTGAACTCATTTGGAATCGTGAATTTGGATGAGTCACTCACGTTCCAGTGACATGAGTCACCCAAGTTCTAGAGATGCTGATTGGTGGTTTGGAACATGGCTTTTATGATTTTACACATATTGGGAATGTCATCATCCCAACTGTTACTCACTCATATTTTTCAGAGGGGTGGCTCAACCACCAACCAGATGAACTATAATATACCCTATGGATCCAAACACTGTCTGAGAAGGTACTTAACCCTCCAAACGATAGTAAATTATTCCCCAAACACTTCCTAAGAAGGTACTTGGATCCATAGGGATATATTATATGTTTTTTTCTGTGTTAATTCTTGGTACCTGACTTCTCTAGACTCTAGTGCAGTCGTATCTGTCAACCTCTCGCCCACCGCTGGCCGCCTGTGGTTTTTCAGGTCATCCCTTTCAACGCAGCCTTGGGCGCTATGGCGCGGCCCTGACTGGATGGATGGATATGTCATAAATGGTGGTACCCCAAAATAGTAAAACAGATGGTTTATGTATGGATACCATTTACCGGATATGTCATGGATAGATGATATAGATGGCTTTTCTCATTTGTTTTGTTTAAACCCATGTTTTTCGCCACATCTGTTTGTTTGGCTTCCATTCCATGGAATTTCCCAGTCGCTGAGGGAAAGCTGGGAGCAAGGGCTTGGAGCGCAGCTCTTCAATTGCTGAATGTTTGGGGGCCCAAGTCTTGTGGAGGTCTGATGCGGGATAAAAACTAGTTCGGAGGCAACAAAAAGGTTGGTTTATAAAATGTTCATAACTACTAAAACTAGGTTTAGTTGCGCAATATGGCACCAGACTAACTTACAAAAATCAGGATGGTTACACAAAGTTACATATCTTTTGTAGATACGTGACACACTGTAGTGGCACGCAATGTTCAATGTTCAATGGTTGATGTTGGTTGTGTTGGTGCCTGGTACATGTTAAAATACGGGGCTTTCCATAAATGGCTTTCCACCCTAAAATAGATGGCTTACAATGGAAAATTTATAAATGGATGATTTAGGGGTACCCCCATTTTAATGTTAAATCACTATGTTACCCCCAAATATGGAGTAGTATTAAAATGTAGTAATAAATCCCATTGAAAATGGATGGCACTACTTTAAAATACTATTAGAATCCCATTAATGTACTTTAAAATGGATTAACATATGGTCTCATTTAAAATGGATTTTAGGAAAGCTCCATATGTTAAAAGGAGACCATCTTTGTGTTGGGAATCCACCTGAGCTGACAGGTCTTGAGGATTTTCCAGCTCTGGTCGGATCTTGCCACCTTGGGAAGTTGCATGGCAGCAGGTGGGAGCCGTTGCGAACCGGAAAAACACGGCGTTTTTTGGGCCTGAAATAGCTGCAGTCACGATGTTGATAGACTCTGAGAACCACCATTTATATATACATATCTCTATCTATCTATCTATCTATCTATTTATCTATCTATCTAATCTAATCTTATCTTATCTAATCTTATCTAATATTATCTTATCTAATCTAATCTAATTTTATCTTATCGTATCTTATCTTATCTATCTATCGATCGATCGATCGATCTATCGATCTATCGATCTATCGATCTATCGATCTATCGATCTATCGATCTATCTATCTATCTATCTAATCTAATCTAATCTAATCTAATCTAATCTAATCTAATCTATCTATCGATCTATCTATCTATCTATCTATCTATCTATCTCATATATATATATGCAGAGTGTTGGTGTATAGGGTGTACCTAGGATCTGTTCCTCTTAGGTAGCATGATTCATGTTCATGTACCGCAGCCCTTTTGGTTTACCTTTGAAGCAGAGCGCTGAGAAGAAAAGGTGCGCTGGGCTGCATCGAACTCGTGAGCCCAAATTTCCGTTGCATGGTAGCGGAGCTCCTGGTTTGGGAGCTGGAAGCGCCTGGCAAGCGAAATGAGTCCCATGCTCCAAAGGCACAGAGCTGGTTCAGTTCGTGCCCTGGCCAAGTGAGTTTGGCACAGGACTTGGTGATGGAGTCACCAACAGGAGGAAGAGGGACAGCAAGACTTGGACCAGGTACCACAGCCTTAGAACTTCCCCTTGGGCAAGCGTGGCATGCAATGCAAGCTGGAATGGCTCAAGTGGCACGCAGTGCACGACAGAAGTTTGAGTCGCTGGAGCGTGGCCTACAAGATCAGGCCAGAAGATTCCAAGCAGACCTGGGAAACATTGCAAGACGATGGCAGGAAGAAGCGGAGGTATCCCAAGAAGTGATCTCGAAAGATCGTGTAGAGGCAAATGACTGCTCCCAACAGGACGGTGGATTACCATCAGCCAATCAGCTCTGCAAAGAAGGTTCAAAGGAAGTTGGCAAACCTTCCCATGGTGGAGAATGCGGTGCTCAGAGACTTGTAGACAAGAAAGATGAAGAGGCTTGTGCGCAGGAATGGCCAGGGAGGACAGACTCAGAGACTGAGAGCGACTTGGGTCTTGTCTGCGTGGTTGGTGGATCCAGTGCTGTTTCAGCACGGGCCCATCGGGAGCCCAGAGCTGCTTCAGCTCGGACTCCCACGCCTATGGACCGAGAAACTCCAAGGACCATTGTTCGTCCTGAGTTTGGAGTCTTGTCATGGTTCTGGTCCAGACCCAAGGATGTGGCCATGGCAGAGTGTAGGAAGGATCGGTATGGTGCTGGCCCTGGTTATCGTTGCCCAGTGCCTGGTTGTGGAGGACGTCAAAAGACTTTTAAGACTGTGAAGGATCTGGAACGTCACTTGGGTAGTAAACTGCACTGTCCGGGCCACCCGTATGACCAACAGTGGGCAGCTTGGGAAGCTGAAGCCAAACGTGGCTACTATATAAGGCCTGAATTTCCTGAAGAAGAAATTGCACTGCGCAAGCCGGGCCACTGTGACGATGAGAAGCCTACTTGGATTTACCGTCCAAGGGAACCTGACTACTCGAAACATGACCAGACCCCTGAGTCCGAGCAAGGTTCAGAAGAAGCAGAAGCTGAAGAAGCAACAGAAGGAAGGCACGAAGCAGGAGAAAGATCGGAGGACGAAGTATTGTCAGAGGTGCAAGCTCACTCGGACGCAGGATCCGAGCCAAGCAAGGAGGAAGAGATGGTTGACGACACAAGAAGGAGGAGAGTCTGAAGCGGAGACAGTGACGAGCGTGCAGTCTGTCTACGAGGTTGACGTCGTTGGGGACCTTGGGAAGGAGAGTACTGCTTCAGTACCTGCTTCGCCACGTGTTCCTAAGACCCCAAATCGCCTTAGATCTCCGATTCCTAGACGACGTGGCCAAACAGAGCTAGCACCAGTGGCAGTGGAGGAGAACATGGTTCCTGCTAAGGAGCCGGATCAAGTTGGGAAGTACCTTCCACCCCACAAGAGGAGATCGGAACAGATCTCTGAAGCGACGGGTGCTTTAGGTGCAAAATACGTCCCGCCACACAAGAGGCAAGCGAAGACCCAGGGTGAGAGTCGTGCCGGTGGCTCTTCATCCTCCAAGGCAGCGCCGTACCAAGTGAACAACGCTTCAAGGTCTATTCCTAGGAGAGCGGATATCGAAGAGGATTGATGAACTAGAGGTACTCCGTCAATCCTTGGATGACAAAGGAGCACATGATGAGGCCGTCTTGAACAACGTTGCAGATCTGGAACTTGAGATTGAAGGTCTCAAAGGCGAGCAGAGAGCCTTTCGAAGAAAGAATCGAGAAGGCCATTCTGCAAGACAGGAGCGAGACAATGAAGCCTTGGGACGTCGTTTAGCCTACGTCAAGGAAAGGTCGAGGAAACGTGCAGCCAGTCATAGGTTGGCCGGTCAGGCTGAAAGGACTGAGGAAAGGCTTGAAAGAGAAGAAGAGTGGCATCGACGCTTCAATCGGCCTGGCACTGGTCGAAAGGTGCAAGTTTTCCCCTTAGCTGAAGGAGTCTTGGCAAATGAAGTCCAAGCAGCACCATTGTCCAAGAAGGCAAGGACAGCGTTGCTTGAGGAGGAGGAAACGGCTTTCCTTGAGTTGCCGCCGCCTACGGCACGAACAAAGCAACTTCCGCCGTCGGCAAGGAAGAAGACCTCACAGCAGAAGAAGGCTAAGCACAAGAGAGAAAGACGCAGAGAGCAACGACTAAAGGAGAAGAAGACCGGTGGACCTGGAGGCATTGGCCACTTGACTTCCTTTTCTGGTCACGGTGACAACTCTTCAGAGAAATACCCTGGTTGGACACGGATCGACTTCGTCATCGACTCCGGTGCAAGTGCAAGCACCATTCCCAAGGAATTGGTGGGCAAGGTGAAGCTTGGTGAGTCCGTGGGGTATCACAGTTTCAGGTTGGCCAATGGGAGCCTTGTGCCGAATGAGGGCACATTGGTAGCCAAGGCGTGGCTTATGGGCAACGAGGAGGTCGCAATGAGAATGGCTGTTGCCAACATCTCACAGCCTCTCATCTCAGTTGGTCAGATGGTCAACCAAGGAAACAAAGTTGTCCTATCCCCAAAGGTCAGTTACCTCGAGACCAAGAGTGGAGGTATTCACCGGATCTTTCACCGGATCTTTCAGCGAAATGGCGTCTATGTTCTACCAGTATGGATAGACTCTGCAAAGGTGTCAAAGAGGTCCAGCCCTTTCAGCGGGCAGGGCCACAGTTGCCTGTAAGACCAAATTCTAAGCAGAGGACCGAGAGCTGCTTCAGCTCCGATCCCGCTTCGGGGGTGCAGAGCCGTGTCGGCTCGAGCCCCCAGGAACCTATTGGACATACGGCCCCTTTGGATGGTGAGGCCGAAGTTGATGATGATTTCTTCGAAGATTGGATTTTCGGAGATTTAGAGGATGGACAACCAGTGGTTGAACCAGAAGAAGGCAGGAAGGCGAAGCCAATTAGAGCACCCTGCCTTCCAAGCCCGGAAGAAATCGAAGCTCATGCAGTTAGTCACATTCCGTTCAGGGCATGGTGTTCGCACTGCGTACGAGGACGTGGAAAGAGCTATGCCCATCGTCGGGTCGTGAGATCCGATGATCCAGAAGAAATTCCGGTCATCAGCATAGACTATGGGTTCTTCGGAGCCCCAGGTGAATTGCCCTCCGATGCAGTTGGGGGAGCAAAGATGCCAGTTCTCGTGGTGAGAGACCGCAAGAGCAAAGCGCTGTTCACACACTTGGTTCCGTCCAAAGGTGTGGAACACTTCTACCCAGAACAAGCACTGTGTAGGGACTTGAAGTTCCTAGGGTACCCAAGCCTGGTCATCAAGAGTGATCAGGAGCCTTCAATCAAGGCTGTCGCAGATGCTGTAAAGAATGCGTTTGCATCTTCAAACGTAAGGGTGCAACTGGAGAACTCTCCTAAGGGAGATCATCATGGGAAATCCAACGGGGAAGCCGAGGCAGCTGTTGAGATCACCCAGGGGTTGTGCAGAACTTACAAGGATGCCTGTGAAATAGGCATGGGAGAAATTATCGACCCCAAGTCACCAATGTTGGCTTGGCTGATCGAGCATGCGGGCAACATGTACACTTTGTATGCCCATGATGATACAATGAAGGATGGCCTGACACCGTTCCGTAGACTGAAGGGACGTGATTGGCAGGTGTCGCTGCCCCCTTGGGGAGAGGCAGTGGACTACAGAGTGCGAACGAAGCACAAGTTGGAGGCAGTGGTCCACAGGTATCTTTTGTGGCATCAGACTCAGTGCTACGGAAAAGGTTGTCGCTACTGAGAACGGCGTGGTGGTCGTGCAATCAATCAGACGGAAGCCAAAGGAACTTCGTTGGGACCCTGACCTGTTCAAGAAGGTCAAGGGTACACCATGGGCGCCAGTCCCTGGTCGAGCGGCTCGACCAGAGGAAGCGCAGGAGCTGCCGGAAGCAGTCACGATTGAGCCAGAATTGCCAGACGAGCCTGCAAATGAGGCCGTACCGGCAGAAAGGAGTGAGGCGCCACGGCGCGTCTACCTCCGTCAAACGGATTTGGACAAACATGGATACACAGCGTCCTGTCCGGCGTGTGATTTAATTCGCGCCGGTGTTTCACGTGAAGGAGTCCACCACACGGAATTTTGCCGAGCGAGGTTGGTGGAGAAATTGGAAGAAACCACAGAGGGTCGAAAGCGTTTGGAAGCTGCCAAGCGCAAGGAAGGGCCCGTCAAGGCTCGGAAGGTTGAACAGCCTGACGGAGGGTCCAAGGATCGGAGTACCGTGTCGGTACCCGGTCCCAGGTCCGGGTCAGGATTGACAGAGAAGAGAAACGCGGAAGAGACTAATGGTCAGGAGGCGAGTCCTCACAAGAAGATTCATAGCGAAAGTGCAAAGAAAGCGAGAGTGTCACCGGATGAGAGTGTCGTTTCGACACCTGGTCCAGGAGCAACCAGCGGTCAGAGTGCTGCTTCAGCATCTGGCCCTAGCTCAAGTGTCTCACAACCACAGAACATGGAAGTCTCCGAGGAGTCAGCCACTTCCCGGAAAAGGCCTGCAGAGACAGAAGATGCGATGGTGACAAGCTTCTTACTCAGCTTGCGACAAGGTTTTCTTAATTCTGTCGCCGGAGACCCTTATCCAGTGTGCGAAGAGAAATTCGACACAAGTGGGTATGAGGAATTCGAGACGTCATACTATGACGATATATCGGGGAAACCTCTGAAACCGGAACTTGTTCGCGAGTCCCGTTTGGAGGAGCTGTCCACCATCAAAGAGATGCAAGTGTGGGAAGTGATCCCACGCCCAAAGAACGAAAAGACCGTATCGACCAGATGGGTTGACATCAACAAGAAAGACGAACGTCAGCCAAAGTATCGCAGCCGACTGGTGGCACGCGAGCTGAAAAAGACGTTCCGTAGTGGAGTATCTTCGGATCCACACACACCGTCATGGCAAGATTTCTACGCATCTATGCCGCCAATCAGTGCACTGCGGACCTTGTTCGCATTGGCCACCACTCGGAGAGTACCAGGATTGGATGGCCGAATGCAGGAATTGCCCCGCAATCAGTGCTTAATCTTCCTGGATATTAAGAAAGCCCATTTCTGGGCAGATGCCCGGAGACGCATCCTGGTGGAGTTACCAATTGAAACTGGCGTTGATACGCAGAAGTTCGTAGGACTTCTGAGAAAGTCCCTATATGGGACCAGAGATGCGCCAGCCAATTGGGAGGCGACGATCCTTCGCGTAATGACCCTCTTGGGATTTGTGCAAGGAAGGTCAAACAGTTGCCTTTACTTTCATCCAGTTCGAGGTATCAGAGTGGAAGTCCATGGAGACGACTTCACTGGTCTTGGCGCTCAGGATCAGTTGAAGTGGTTCGCTACAGAACTTGGAAAACACTGGACGGTGGAAAATCGTGGTTATTTGGGTCCGCCAGGGATGCCTGGAACCAAGCAAAGCATTGACATTCTGAACCGATTGGTGACATGGACTGAGCGAGGGATTGAACTGGAAGCAGACCCCCGCCATTCTGAACTCATCATTCGCGAAATGGGATGCGATGGAGCCAAAGTTACTACGGCTCTGGTCAAAGAAAGATTGGAGGAAGTGGAGAATTCTGAACCCCTCGAACCTTCAGAGGTACCTAGGTATCGTTCGGTGAGTATGCGGCTAGCCTATTTGGCACAAGACAGACCAGACCTACAGGTGCTGGCCAAGGAGTTAGCAAAAGGGTTGAAGAATCCTACCAAAGCTCATTGGATGATGCTCAAACGTGGCGCTCGGTACTTAAAGAACAGACCGAGACTCATCCACCTCTTTCCGTTTCAACAGACAGCGCATCGCCTAGAGGTTTGGTGTGATGCAGATCACGCTGGATGTTTGCGAACTCGGAAGAGCACAACTGGCTATTGCATACGAATCGGAGAATCGACGACGAAAACGAGTTGTAAAGGTCAGGCCGTGATCGCGCTCTCTAGCGGAGAAGCGGAATATTATTCGCTTACATCTGCAGCATGCAATGCCCTTGGTGAGCAGTCAGTCCTTCGAGACTGGGGACTGTGGTTCCCCATTCACATCTGGATGGATTCAACTACAGGTTTATCAATAGGTTCAAGACACGGACTTGGAAGAGTGAAGCATCTGGACACCATCTTTCTGTGGGTCCAGGACGCAGTCAATGCCAAACGCATATCTTTGGGCAAACAACCGACCCTGAAGATGTTGGCAGACTTACTCACGAAACCCTTAGATCAAGCACGAGTCCGTACACTACTCGAGGGCATGAACTACTTCTATGCAACTGGACGACATGGTCTAGCTCTCGATGTTTAGACTGAGGGGCTTGAGCCTGGTGACGAATCTGAGACAGTTTACACCAAGCTCGGGTAACAGACCTGAGTCACGTTCCCCTCGGGAGGCGTGTTGGTGTATAGGGTGTACCTAGGATCTGTTCCTCTTAGGTAGCATGATTCATGTTCATGTACCGCAGCCCTTTTGGTTTACCTTTGAAGCAGAGCGCTGAGAAGAAAAGGTGCGCGGGGCTGCATCGAACTCGTGAGCCCAAATTTCCGTTGCACAGAGAAATGATTTTTGTGGTGACTTGCGGAATCTCTATGTCTCTTATCGAAGTTTTGATCCGGTATGACATGTTTTCCGAAGGGCAGGATGGGCCGAATAGCGCAGCTATAAGCTGTTTAGCTCGAAGTTGATCTGCAGAGTTTGCTTGGCTCTCTTGGCGTTCAGCATGTTTTCTTTGTTCATACACATCTATGGAAAACGGGGGGCCCTAAATCATCCATTTCAACAGGATTGCCCATTAATTGTAAAACATCCATTTTGGGAATCCCCCATTAATGCACCCCCCTACAATCATTTGTTGTGATTGATTTCCCCACCGTCAGTCAATTCTCCACTTTCTGTGCACTTCACTTCCACGGAGTTTTTCCCCAATTACTAATCCCTTCCTTCCCAATCTTGAATAGCCAAAATGCATAATGTGGGTATAACCCAATAATACCATCCCAATTTTTGGTTCATGATTGGGAAAACCCCCAAACGTTGGGATGATGTTTTTCATGAACTCCAGCCATGCTTCGTCAGCCACCCCAAAAAGGGAAACAATTTCGGCATCTTTTCGGGCATCTTGGGGAAGGGTACATCTGATGACTGCATTCTGGGGCTTACTATAATCCCTATGGATCCAAGTACCTTCTTAGGAAGTGTTTGGGGAATAATTTACTATCGTTTGGAGGGTTAAGTACCTTCTCAGACAGTGTTTGGATCCATAGGGAATGTGGGTAAAACAATTATAAACCATCCCCCAGTCATCACCATGTTTAATTTATAGGTGGCTTGAATAAACCATTGTCATCCCAGTCACGGTTGGTAAAAAAATGGCATTGTTTGAGCCACATAACTATGAATCAATACCTATTTATACCATTTTTAGTGGGATGAACATCCATCAATCCCAGCAATTTTGATGTGAACTACAGGGGTACTATTGGTTTTGACCCCCTGCCACATCGGATCCAATAGGATCGACCAGCATGGCAGGTGCGGATCAGCCAGGGGGTTGGAGGTCAACTCTGCTGCTGCTGCAAGTGCTCAGGTGAGGATCGATGTGGGATGAGGCAACTTTGGGAGGTAGAGAAATGTTCATATTGTACAGAATATAGATTATACTATATGTATATACATTATACATATAACGTTATGACATATATATATATACATATATATATATGTACATAATAGTGCATTACATACATTATATATATATAATCATGTGTATATATATATATATACACATGCATTTCTACGGGTTTTCTAACCGCCGAGGCACCTAGGCCTAGCTGTGGACCTTCGGAGTCTGAAAGCCACCTGCCTGGCAGCGGGACATGGGAGGCTGGAGGGTGTTCTCAGGGCGGATCTCATCCCAGCTGAACCAATCAAAATACACAGCATTTTGATTGGTTATTGTGATGCTATAGGGGGGTTATTATATCATAGCATACTGCCTAATGTGTTTAGAAAAAAATACTTTCGGTATCGGACTGTCAGCGGAAGACTGCAATGTTTTTTCCTTTGCCACGGGTGCTGAAACATCCGTAGGCCGTAGGCGCGCAAGCGACAACGGCTTCAAAGACACGTGAAGGAATGCGCAAGCTGTTTCGAAATTTGTATTTGTACTGAATTCACTGTGACATGGTTCAAGGGATTTTGTTCATATCCACTCATACATGTTCATACTGATTGTCTCCCCAATCAGAGATGATGTGGTTCTGCCCGAACGCCACAGGCTGTGGCGGGCCACACTGCATCACTTCGACGTTGCCAGGCGAGGACCTGCCGTCGAGCCATCGGAGTGGACGCATCCTGATGTTTTCAATAGTGAACATGATAAATAATAGTGAACTATTGATAAATATTGATAACTCATACTATGTTTATCATCATGGATGTTTCATAACCTTTTAGGATAATCCCATGATGATACATAGTGAACTTATGGCTATCCCAAAATAGTGAACTAATACTGAAGATCTATGAGACATTTTGGTAATCTTTGGGAAAACCTAAATGTTAAGACTTAAATACATGATGAGATGACATGTTCCCATTTTAGTAGATTATGAACATCTTTAAATCAGTAACATGTTCACACATAGCCCGAAACATTGGTTCATGAACTTTGGTATGACATTTTATGACATGTGTTTTGTTCCCCACCTTTGGCATAGTGAGACGAAACCTTGCATGTCCGTTGCAGGCCAGCAGTGGCGCACCAGGAGGCTCCGGGAACCATTTTCACAAGCTCAAGGGGGGTGAGTGAAAACATCAAGTTCAAACTAATACTGATAATGGTATCAATTAGATATCAATAGATAATGATGATGAGAATAAGATAAATGCACTATATAGTAATTATCATCATCATCATCATCCATTAATAGCACCATTAATAACACCATTGATAACCATCATCATCATGGGATTTTTGTTGGTAAAATAACCATCTCCTTTAAATTTAATATGCCTATGAATCAATACCTATGAAAATACCATTTTTAGTGGGTTATTCACATCCATTTTAACCCAGCTATTTTTGATGTGAACAGAAGGGGTACAATCATCCATTAATAACACCATTAATAACCATTGATAACCATCAAATAACCATCAAATAACATGAATAAACCACTACCATCATCATCATCATCACGTCTCCTTTAAATTTAACATCACCTGGGATCGAAAAGCTCTGTTAGTCCCAAAAGTCCACCCGCCAGCGCCAGGTCTGGACGACATCAACGTGGGCATGCGAGGCCGATGTCGTCTGACGAAAGGGAAGCAATGAACATAGCCCTGTTGGAGATGTTTGATAATTGTAACATATATATATATATATAATAATGGTTACATTCTAAGTTGACATTCTAGAGTTTGTTGTGATATGAGAATGATGAACATACCCCCAATATCTTCATACAACTTGTGTTGTTTGATCATGATTCCTGTCAACTAAGCAGTGTTTTGTGGAATGGGATAGGCTTAGTTTTTATGGTTCCAGTGATGTCTTGAGAGCTGACGAGTCATCCGATGGGTTGGTCTTGTCGTCGACTCAGAATCGTCTTCCGTTTGCCACGGGGCCTGGCGAGGTCTAGGTAGTTAGAAGGATGTGAAAAAACCAGGATATTTTGTTAGGTGTGGAAAGATCTTGAAGGATATTTTGGAATCCCCTGGAATTAGCATTCAAAAAACTGGGCCATATTATACACCTCATTGAAGTATATTTAAGTCATGTTTTGAGCCTCTTGGAGACCTGTATGGGCTGTCCACACCTGTCAAGGTGGCTGGCGCCTGTGGCGTCTCACCAGATGGAAGCAGCTTTCCTGAGACAAAAAATCGAAAGGCTGCGACATCCCCTGCCTGATATCATGGCCATATCATCGGTCAAGATTTCCCATACCCTCTGGTAAACTAACAGTTTGCTATTGAACATGGCCATTTATAGTGGATTTACCCATTGGGAAAATGTGATTTTCAATAGTTATGTTAGTTTATCAGAGAGTAATTGATCAGAACTGGTTTGAAAATTCTCATTGATCAGGCACCATGTTTGGATGGTCATAATTTAAGAGGTACCCAACATGGACCAGCGATTTGGTACGACAAGTGCCTTGCTGGTCCACTGTGTCAGTACTGGATCAAACATGTTTACAGGAAAGATTGGAGAGATGGATGTTGGATGGGAAGGTGTTCTAGGCATTATATCTGAGTAACCAAGACCAACCAGATATGTAGTTGTAATTAGTTATATATATATATATATATTTATAGTGTTTAGTTAGTACTAGCTATCTATATTATATATAATTATATATACATTGTGATCCCATTGGCTACCCTTTGGCTTACCTTTGGACTGCGCCCAGACACAGGATTGGTGTAGCCATGAAAAAATGCAACCACATAGCCAGCTATTTCGGACGTGTCTCCAAAAATGGGATATACATGGGTTTACCCCCCAAATATCAATTCAATGATGAAGAAGATGAGGTTCTAAAATGTTCTAAACACTAAACCATGAGATGTTTGCTACTTCCATCAGTTTCAAACCATCGCTTCCGACGCTTCTGTTGGCGATGGGAGCAATACGACAATCAGACAGAGCGGGTCATGGTGAAACTGTCCGTGGAAGAGTTGCTTGGAGGAAGCTCAGATTTTCAATGTTAAGCTCATGGAGACCTGTAGAGTCGTAGAGTACACTGCAATGTAAAGCTGAGATTGTCTCAGAATGTCATCGTCGTCGTCCCCATCATCCTCATCCTCATCATTATCATAAGTTTCATGATATATGTTGACGTCCTTTGGAGAACCCCCCCACTTGCAAAGCTTAAAAAACGGGCGGTACTGTCCAAATTCTTGCTTGCTCTCTGTTATCGTTCCTGAAGAGATTTGCTACGAACAGCTACGAACAGTTGCAGATGACAGGAATTGTGGACACATCCAGGTAGTAGAGATGCTTCCGTGGGGAACGGGCAAATGGCCATAGTATGCCATATAGTATACAGCTCCATCCACCCCATGTCCCCATGTCCCCATGTCCCAATAAATCCAGTCATTGCGCCACTTGAAAAGTGCCATTGGGCACCTGCTATTCGGTCCAGGTTTCTTGCTGGCAATTGGTTGAAAGCTGAAGCCATCCTTCGAGGACAGCTACTTGGACAGGTGGTGTCATATCCTGATGTCATTGAGGATTGGCCCGCCCTGCTATCTGCATGTTGTGGCTCAGCTGAGACACAGGGGACGACTAAGGATACCCACTGGTGAACATACAAAAAACTATGGAAAATCACAATTTTTCATGGGTAAATCCACTATAAATGGTCATTTTCCATTGCTATGTTAGTTTACCAGAGGGTATTTAAGGTGTCATAAATGCCATGTGTCCTAGGTATGACTAAGGATATTTTATTTCTGATCATCTTTGATCCATGAATCAAGTTCGGACCTGCTGATTTCCAGCATGGTTCCATTTTTTGTCCAACAAATTTGGGATCCCAAAAATGTCCAAAAAGTGGACTTTGTTTTCCAACTACTATCTTCCACAAATATCTTAGTACCCAAATTTATTGATACTGGTATATGTGTCTCCAACTATCTTCATAAATATCCAACATTCCAAATAGTTTCCATCATTTTCTATGGTCTTTCCTAGGGCTTAGTGACTCTCAGACGTGTTCTTCCCAGGTGGCGAGACGTGCTGCCACGAGGCCGTCTTTGAAGCGATCACCAACACCTGCCCTGGAGCTGCGGAGTGGGCCGAAGGCTGCATGAAGGCGGGCGTGGGCCAACCACAGCGGTATCATCAAGGATGGCATGGCTGGGAAATCCTATATCTGGGTAAATTATAACGACCTCACTGCGACCTCACTGGAAATCATGGTTAGTAAGGGAAATCATCCCCAAATGGCCTTAATTCAGGTTAGTGAATTATTATAATTTACCCAGCTATATAAAGGGGGCTGGCCTGAGAAAATCATCAGCTAAATGGGCGATTTTCGATGTGGGATTATCGGAGGGTATGGGGGTCTGGGTGATCGGATAGAAGATCAGTGGGAATTATGATGTTTGTTCAATTCATTACGGATGTTATAGTTTTCATACATGGAATAAAAACATATTAGAAACACGGATTACTATATATTTGGATGATTTCAATGATCCACAGCAATCATCAATAGTCAACAATTTCAAGATTCTAGGGGATTGTATTGCTATCGGAATTATTTGGGACGATGTTTGACTAGTATATGCAAGATCTAATGGGATATTGTAGCGATTCTATAGTGATTATAATGATGTATATCATTGGTGTATAGACGGATATTATATAATGGGGGTAGAAGGTGGGGGTAGACTGGGTTTTTTCATGGGTCTAATCGTGGACCCCTTCTGGAACTTTCTGTTTGACAGAAAAGGGGGGATTGATCTCCAGAAATCCCCCAGAAATCCCCCAAAGTCATCCAAGGAATGAGTGAAAAAAACGTCCTTGACTTCAGGTGATACAACCCATATAACCAATTTTCAATCCATGGATTCCATGTGTTATATTGTATTATATATATAATCATATATTTATATAATTATATATATATAGATAGTCATATATATATATGTATATAGTCATATATATATATAGTCATATATATATGGTGTATATATATATATGAATAATTAACCCGATCCCATTGAAATCCCATTAAAAAACAACTAAAAAAGACATATTAAAACCCATTAAACAACTATTCAACCCTACAAAAACAACAATAAGAAACATTAAAGTGCATTAAAATCCCATTAAAACTCATTAAAATCCCATTAAAACTCATTAAAATCCCATTAAAACTCATCAAAATCCAATTAAAACTCATTAAAATCCAATTAAAACTCATTAAAATCCAATTAAAACTCATTAAAATCCAATTAAAACTCATTAAAATCCCATCAACACCCGGCTGACTCGGCTGCAGGACCGGTCGCTTCCCCTCCCCTTCCGCCTCCGCGTGGCCGCGCGCCTCGGCCTGGACTCGCTGGCGCCGGAGGCGGAGGCGGCGCTGCTGCAGGGCCACAGCGTGCCGCTGGAGGCCATGCGGTGGATGGATGCGACGAAACTCAACAGTTATGGCCCGGAATACCAGTTGCTGGTGATTAATAGTGGTTAATAGTGGTTAATAATGATAAATAATGGTGATTAAGAATGGTTACCATCTGGTTATGACTAACATAGCCATGGTATAGATGGCCCATAGAAATAGATGATTTTCCCAGCGAACGAAACCTCCATTTATAAGGGATTTTCCATGGCTATGTTAAGTAACCAGATGGTATTAAACATACCAGTTTTATAGAAACCCCATACTACCCAGTTTTATAAATTAAAAACCAGTTCTATACCAGTTATAAGTTATAAGTACTAACAAAACACCATAGAATGTACAATCCCACAGAAATAAGCAGTTATATATAACTAATCAATGGCCATAACTGTAGAATGGAGGTATCACGTGGTTTTCACGCGCTGCCACAAACCTAGGGATGGTTTACTATTGAGCTTATGATGGGATATAATGGATGTAGGATATAACCATGGAACATGCATATAGTGGTGTTACAATGGGGATATAATGGACATATCATGGATTCTTCATGAACATATGACCAAAAACAAATTGGTAATGAACTGGTGGTGGTCTTAGATGATTTATGTACATATGTTATATTCGGTCCCATCCTATTTGGGGCAAAGATCGGATACAGTAATATTGACGGGGCACCATAAAACACAAACCAAAAACGGTTGAACTGAAACCATATACAGAGGTTGGTCAAAACTATCAACCCTCCACAAATTGGTTACTGGAAAAACATAGAAAATTAGAAAATCACTTTTTTGGAAACAACGGATGAATAGTGTTTAAGAAAAAAACTGAACAAACTTGAAATGCATAGGGCAAACAAAGACACACAATTCGATTCATCAGGCAACATATTCTGAACACATTTTGTTTTTGATATAGATCTTGTTTGACCAGAAAAAAATGATCCAACATGTGGATTGAAACTGAACCATCCCCTGAAGTCTAAGGAAGCTTTGGCCACAGCTGGTGTCGCAGCGCTTGGTTGTGCCTGCTGCTGCCTTACTGGATGCCCACCCCAACTGCGAAGATTCCGAGGAAGATGCTTGGCGTGACAGTCCTTCGTTGGGGACCATCCTGGGGTTGAACTTTGGAGTTGGAAGAAGATCAAAGATGATGTCAGATGTTTTGTTGAATTTTGGTTTCACCATTTGTTACATCTCCACAGTAAAATTCAGGACAGGTCCTTAGTTCCACACATCGCTCAGTCATTCACCTAGGTAAGAAATGCAGGCGTTGATAATATATTGCATGTCTTCCCCATGTTGAGATATATTTTAATTATATCATTGTTTGGATACTCAAAATTACGGTGTCCATGTGAAGGGTTTGCCATGTTTTGTCTTTTTGTTTTTCAATTTATTTGATAAGATGTTGGTATCCACAATCTTGTTGGATGGGGTCTGCATTCCTGTAGTATATATTACAATAATATGATATAATATTATATATTTGCATATATTTGCCTGAACTGTGCTGCAGCGTGACCCACCCAATGATAAGACTTTTTTGCAATGCCATACCGTTAATGATAATTGTCTTTGACGGGGGAGCGGTCAACCAATTACTTGCACGCAGGCTATTTGAGCATAGATTGAAGAACAGAAATTGGGTCTCAACATTCCTGGATTTAAGGAGTTGCTTTAGTTACAGTATGTTACAGTTATATTATAGCTCCATGAAATGCTTCTGGTTTCTGACAAATATATATATATATAACAAAAGCCAGCGATATTAGACCAGAAATCTCGGCACCAAATTTATGTAAATCCTAAAGTTTAGATTCAGATCGGAGATAGATTTGATATAGTGGATAGAATTTGGCATTACACTGGGAATTGGAAAAATACAACCAGATATTTCATAACGCAAACATTGTTTTTAGGGTTTACAAGTGGTTTAGTGCACGCATGTTTGTTTAGTATGTTCATTTTCTATTTTGCAAATGTCCCCATATCGTTACTGATGTGTCCTGGATTTGGAGATGGATTCTTGATCTCCTTTCCGAAAGGCTTTCTGGAGGTTGGCTGGTTCCGAAACTGTTTGGTGGCCAAACGTTTTCCAAACCGGACCAGCGGACCCAAACATGTTCGCCACTTTTAGCTGCTTTGACCGCTCGGATCCGCTCGGTGCAGGATAGATGCAAGGATTTGCACCAAAAAAATGGATAATTTGAGAGGGTTTCCAAGAAACTCTCCAACACTTCATGCATTCTGCTGGCGGATCTTCCACACATTTGCACATTCCAACGGTGATTCCTCTCAGGTGACGTCTTTCATCGCAGATTCTCTCCAACGGTCCAGTGCCGAAGCGAAGCTGGTTGCTGGTTTCAGATACGTTCTCAGTTATATATTATATGATGAATGGATAGTTCATCATGATATCAATGGAGGAAAAACAATCGATGATTTGAGTATTGGTTGAACTAGATTAAGATCTAGATCAGATTATATATAGAGGTACTTAGATAAATATAGATGAACATATTGATAGGTAAATAGATCATAATACATAAATAGATCAGATAGATTTAGATAGTACAGTAGATAAAACATATAGATAAAACATATGTCCTGGGATGATGATGGATTTAATTTGACCACGTATGCGTACATGTTATTTTGATTGATTGCTGCTCCATTTTTTCATCTGTCCCAAGATTTGCGTACTCCATTTCACCACTGGACGCGTTTGGGATCCACAATGGGTAAAGAAACCCAGGACCCATTGGTGGTACAGTCGCTTATGCCATCCTTGGTTATATAAAAGAAAATTACTGTAGAATAGGATATACCCATCACCATGCTTGGTTTGATTCTATCTTAAACCCCATTGATCATATTGCTAGTAAACTTCCATTTTAGTCATACTTGGTCAATCATCATCAATCACCATGTCTGCCTGTTTCAATGGGAATTTCAGGATCCTAAAATGGAGGTACCTACCATATATAAGCCTTATAAAAGGGCTATGTAAGTGAATATCCCCGCAAAATATGGCCTTATATGGTACAGTACCTCCCCCGGCATCGCCCAGGAAGGCCGCCCTGGGAATCCTCGTCACCCTGCGCGGTGCGACGAACGCGGCGCTGCTGTCGGCACTGCTGCAACGGCAGCCGCTGCACCTGCTGCAAGCGCTGCCGTTGCCGGAGGAGGTCAACGATTGGGGACGTAACAGTGGAACTCCGTGATGTGAGGATATTATATATAGAAATGGGGATGTATATATATATATACGTATACACAGTGTATATATATAATATACATACACAGTAATTATATATATATATGTAATTATATATATAATATAGTTATATGAAGTTATATGTATCTATCTATATTTACTGTATGTAAATGTCAATGATGTAGATCAGCGTATCAGGATGGAACATATATTATATACCAAAAAATCGGGATGATCCATGATCAAAGCAATTGAAATGTGGATGACAACTGGAGGTATGAATGCATGTCCAGGGATATGGGGGGTTTGCCCTGGTAGATTGGATTGGATCTATCTATTCATGAACAGGGGGGCCATATAAGTAAGCTTGATACCAGGGGAGAGATAAATTAAGCAACAAATACGCCCCAACATCTTGATGTTAGATGTAAACACACACGCACACACACACACAAACAAAAATAAACAAGTGAGCCAAGTGGTAAATGTGTTATTATTGGCAAGCGCTTGTTGTGTTTCTTACGACAGAGAGTCCAAGTTCATCCACCGGTGCCAGATCTGACCATCCATCAATATGAGTCGTATCCCAAACTTGGATCAGTGCAGGGTCAGCTGAACCCCCAGCATTTCAGGAACAAGAATGACGACAGATCACCTTCCCATTTGATGGTTCAGAAAAACGATGATTTCCACAGGTGGAAACCGTTGGTTTCCTGAAATTTGGTCGGGTTTTCCCCAGTGTTATCGAACAAAAACAACAATGAAGTGTAAAAATTGGAGGTGAACTTCACGAATCATCATTGTTCATTGGTTTTCTGAAGTTTGGATAATTCTGGTCCAGTTTTTCCCGTGAACGTGTCTTTTCGTGTATTGTTCGAATTGGTTGAATTATAATGACCCCCAATTGACTGGATATTAGAATCGAGTGCTTAGGATCCACCCGTCAACTATAAATCATCCACAAAATTCACGAAGAAAAATCATCATCATCATCATCAACCAAAAAAAAAGAACATCGTCACACAAAAACAACAACAAAAAAACATGAACATATCCTCCCCACTCAACACCGCTTCAGGCTCTCCACCGCATCACCGCCTTGCTAGCCCTGCGCCACAGCGACCGGCGTGTGGCCGCCCTGCTGCTGCCTCAACTGGGCGCGGCTCACAGGCTGCCAGAGGTGATGGAGGCGTGTGGGGATGCAGCCCTTGAGATTTTGACCATGAATCATGGTGATTTAATAATGAGATAATGGTTATTAAACAATAAATAGCCATTGTATAACCATTATTAACCAATCAACTGGATGTTTGGTGATTTAAACAATTACAGTAGTTGATCATGAACAATTGGGATGTTGCCATAACAAATGCTGCCTTGACCATGAACATTGGTGATTTTACCATGACAATTTGTGATTTAATTAACCGTGAAACAATTGTGATTCAAACATGAACGCTTGGGATCTCAATCATGAAAAATGGTGGCTGTTATCCAACAAATGGGTCTTAACCATCAAACATTGTGATGTTTAACTGTGACTTTTCTGGATTTTGAATATAGTATTTAATCCCTCAGCCAACCTTTATCGCTTCAAGAGGGCATCCTTGCGACAGGTTGCAGGAAAAAGAGGAAAATTCATAGTATTGATTCGATCCATGTTGCATGATCATTGCATCCTTAATTTTCATCAATTTCTCATTCTATATTGTTTCACCTGTTCTTGACTTCCATATAAGGAGTTCTATGCGCGCTAGGCAACCATGAAACATATGTATCAAAACTCTGCTGATTTATGTGGATATATTTGATGGTTGGCATCAACAAACATCCAACGTATTCCAAACTGGTTTCAACTTAACAAAAAATACACCTTATTTAGTTCCTCTTTTCAATCATAATGTATATATTTATACATATATAGTCATATATATATATATATTATTTTTAATGAACAAATATTCTAAATTTTCTTCCTGGTGTTCTGCCCAGGCAGCCGCCCGCGGTGAGTCTTGGACCTTACCCTGGTGGCCAACCGCAATGGCCTCGACGCTCCGGGGGACGGTGGTAGAGCTGCAGCAGTTGATGAAGGCAGGCCCCTGGAAGCTCGGTTTTTGTTGGAAAAAGCGGAGGGATTTTTTTGGGGGGGTGTTTTACTTATATGGCCCTGCATATCAATATTTACTAACAGTTTTTTTTGAAAAAACATATTTTCTACAGTTTTGGGGCCCCAGTTTTCCCATGGTTTTTGGTGTTGTTTTTTTGGGGATGGGATCTGGTTGGCGATGGCGGTTCTGTTTCATGTTCTTGTTGGTGTGGATTGTTCAAACTGATTGTTTAACGATTGTTTAATGATGTTTCATGGGGTTTTTGGGGATGGACAATGGTATCAGGACTTAGATGACTTAGTTTGATGGCGATAGATAGATAGACATAGGACACTTACCGGATTTTGTTTGATGGTTATCAGTGGCAATTTGGACTGCTGTAAGATGACTTTGATTGGGAAAAACTGGTGGAGACCGGTGGTACATAAAATTCCCTAGTTTTCATACAAAAACCACGATGTTTCGGAAACATATCCATGTTCCCTTCATAATTCGAGCCCAAAATGCTGGTTCATCACCATGTTTCCACTGTTTTTCCCTTCATAACTCCTCGTTTTGGAGTTGTTCCCTTAAATCCCTATTTGTTTCCCCTTAAATCTTCATGTGTTTCCCTCAAATCCACATGTGTTTCCCCTAAATCTTCCTTGTTTGTTCCCATCTTAACTTTCTTCCCTTAACTCCCCACTTTTTCCCTTAAATCCCAATGTGGTTCCCTTGAAATCACCCTGTTTTGGACAAAGATCGCTGGTCCAAGGAGTTTCATCGCCCTGCTGGACGTCTTGGTGTCCGCTTGGCTCACCGCCTTCGCGGAGCCGCCGGAGCCCGTGGAGCTGGCGGAGCTGGCGGAGGCGCTCAGAGCGTTGAGGGCCGAGCTGCCGAAGCGTGCCAGGTGCGCCGGGATCATCAATCGATCCGTGGGGAGGGTTGGTTCATGGTGAAAAATGGGATGTTCATGGTGAAAAATCTTGGGGACTTGTGAAAATCCGGCTGAAGCATGGAAAACTGGCGATTCATGACTCAATGTAGGGAAAACCAGATGATCCCGGGACTGGTGTAATGTTTTCAAAAAGGGACATTTTTAGCACCTCTACACATGGGGAAACATCAAGCAGGTGGAACATGTGGATTTAACATGATTTAACTATCAACAACTGGCACTGTTCGTGGGGAACACGCTTGGAACATGCGATGATTTAACAGATTTGGAGGTGCCAATCGATTTTTGGCTGAGAGATGTTTTCATCTGTTCTGTGGAGGATGTAGGTGTAAGATGCTTTGTGGCGCACATGCTGTGGCGATGATTTCTTGTGCATCATTGCTTAAGAGGCACCCATAGTTAATGTCCATCCATTATATGTTTGATGAATGACAATTATACAGTGGAGTCGATACAGGTGAGGTTCCTATATTGTCTACATAATAGTATTATGTATGTGTTTATATATTATATATATATCATATGTGGATATATGCAGGACATAAGATATGAAGGTATATTCATATGTTATAGTATCTTTTACAGTGGCGGGCAAACACTTAATATGATTGTAAAAACAAAAATCAACAAATGCTGTCATATTCTAAGTGTAGTGTTTTTCAAGAAATTATATTTAAGTGTAATGACTGTTCTAAGTGTTTGCATTCTAAGTCTTATGTTTTTTTTTAGATTTCAATATTCTTGAGTAAAAAAAAATGATCAACATGTGTTTGTCCACCACATGATTTCCAATAACTATATATTTACAAAAAGTAGATGGAAAGTGGGTAAAACAATAATGAACCATCCCCCAGTCATCAGCATTTTTATAGGTGGTATGTTTACCATTCCCAGTCATTGGTGGATTTCAATGCTGTGCATCCCAGGTCTTTGGCCAAAACCTTGCTAGAAACGGTTGCCAAAGAGGCTCGGCCGATGGTGCAGAAATGGTGGGATTTTGTCAAAAGAGAATGCTGCTTTAATATACGTTAATAGTTTGTTGCATTTTTTTGGTGAATTTTGGTGGATTTTTATATTATTATATAGTTATATATATATATGTTTCGTCTTTTGGGGACAGACACACACACACATGAATATTGTTTTGTCGAGAAGGCGAGCAACAGAAGCACAACCCAGCCGGGACGTTGTGTATACATGTGATGTGTATCCCATCGATTCCCAATGAAATTGTGTTTTCTCATTATGAATCATCTATGACTATTTAAAACAAAGTTTTCTCGATCCATCATAGTCACACATATCTAATTGATTATGTATTGCTATTTGCCTACTAGTATGAGAATTGTTAGATCATGTTGGATCTTCCCACTCAACAACTGGAAGCCCTGCAGATGGATTCCGAGCTGCTTCTGGAGATTGCCTGCTGTGGTCTTGAGGTGCCGGCAGCTTCTGATTTCGGGCAAAGGATGGTGGCAAGTGTTCAACCTGCCGGGCCGGGATATTTTATTTTCAGGGTGTTTTAAGTATATATGGGATTTCTAGAATGGTAATCTTCATAGAGATGGAGGTGGTCTGGTTTGTTTGAACCGGTTGATATTCAGCTATCCTATGGGGTTGTCATTTCCCGCCTGATCCAGTTCGAACCCCGGTTAACACACTGATGTTTTTTTTTTCTGCTCCTACTTCAGACTGCAAATTATGTAGATACTCATACTTGTTGGTACATATATAATCATATAATATCATACGTATATATATATATACATGTAACTATATATATATAATTCTATATATAATTACATATATATATAATTCTATATATAATTACATATATATATATATATAACTAATTATACAATTACATATATATTTAATTACATATATATTTAATTACATATATATAATTACATATTTATAATTACATATATATATAATTACATATATATATATAATTACATATATATATATATACAAAATTACGTATATATATATAATTACACATATATATATATATATATTACTACATAAGAAACCATATAGATTCATTCATGATGGTTATATATATATATATTACCACATATATATATATATATCATTATGAATGAATAAATAGATACTTACATATTAAATCATATTAATATAACACAATAACCCCCCCGTTTTAGCGGTATCTAGGCGTCCCAAAACAGCTGAGCAAACAGGGTACCCTTTTTTCCCCACCCCATATGGTTGTGAAAACAGTTCACATTCCTCATGTTTTTGCCATTTCAATAGGGATACGGGATAATTATGATTAATCATGGCATTTTCAGAGGGGTTTCCCATGGTTTTCAGGTATCACACCATATCAAACCCATAAATATAAAGTAATATATACCACGCAACTATGACCCCAACCATGACGAATCCATAGGTTAGCTGGTATAGCTAACATGACTGGGGTATGATGGGATCCATGTCACATCCCAATCCCCCCCAGGGCTTCCCAGTTCCGCCGTTCGAACTTACAGGTGCCGGGCCTTCAAGCTTTGGCGTCCAGCTGTTCTCGCCGAAAGTTGAAGGAGCTGCTGGAGGTCCTGCCGTCTGCCGCCCCAGGACGGCGATGGACGGCCTTGGTGAAGCGATGTGTTTGGCGATGTGTTGGGCCGTTATGGGTGCAACTGAATTCTAGAGGGAGCCCTTCCATTTCTTGTTTGTTACCCTCTGGTAAACTAACATAACTATAGTGACGGACATATACTTAGAACATCAATTTTTCCAAAATTTCGGAACCTTTTCTTAGAGCATCAACACAACTACACTTAGAACATCAGAAATGTTCTAAGTACGCGCTTAGAACATCAAAAACACAGATACTTCGAACATCTCCTTTGATTTTTTGCATACTTAGAACATTAAACACACATATACTTAGAACATGTCCTGTTACTTTGGTAAATCTGCATATATACACACAAATACCTTGGTGAACACCATACTTAGGACACTTTCTCCCCTCACTGCTGCAGCATCTTATACCTTTTCTTCGGGAACAATATCCCAGGCAGTCTTCGCTGCAATGGGAAGGTCTCTAGTATATAATTTGTGGGTTTCCTACAGGGGGTAGTCAAAAAGCATAGGTTTCAATACTAAAATGAGCAGGGGGCGGCAGCCCTTAAATAAATATATCTATATATAGTATTATATAGTGTATATATATAATTAGCGACGGACAAATACTTCGAACATACATATATGTATGGTTCCCATTGGTTCCCCACTGGGATGTTCTAAGTATAGCTTGGAAATGTTCTAAGTATAGGTTTTGGGTATGTTCTAACGACTTAATACTTAGAACATCCCCGCTGTGACGATTTTCAGATTTTTTTTCCAAATGATGTTCTAAGTATTTGTCCGTCGCTATATGGAAAATCACCATTTTTAATGGGAAAATAAACTATTTCAATGGCCATGTTCAATAGCTATGTTAAATTACCAGAGGGTAATGGGAAACATATGGGAAAAAACACAATAATCCCATCTTTTTGCTGAGATCATTCTGGGATGTTGGATTTCACAGTTGGAGGGGAAATCGATTGAACTTGTTGATCTTTTCAGGGTGAAACCAAGCCATGTCTTCTGTGCCAAAGATTCTGACCTCACAACCAACTCATCACACATGATCGTTAGCAGCGGAAATCATCTTCGGGAAACATAGTCATTGGCCCTTGAAATATTGGTATACTGGTATATATATATGGGTATGGTTCAAAGTTGGATACCCTGAAAGCTGGATGGCTACGGAAAATATCGGAAAATGATCGAAATCTGAGGTTGCTTTGACCGGTTGGGTTTAGAGAATATGATTTACATCTGACTGCACTCCGGATTTGCTACAGAACTCAATGCTACAAATACAAGACGATGAATGTATTTTTGGTGATTTCCCCATTTCAAAGTTAACGTCATTCCTGCGTGACACGGTATCTTCACTAAATGCCGCAAGGCCGATAAGTTGCAGATGTCAAACGCAGGCCTTGCCCGCGATGCATCTACGGCACTTTGGGCTTTGAAGAACGTATCCAATGCCACACTGGAGCTGGCAGATGGAGGCAGGCGCGGGGATGTGTAAACAATATATATATATATATAGAATATACCCCTATATATGGCCATGTTAATAGGGAACATGATTTTTACCCTCTGGTAAATTAACATAACTATTGAAAATCACCATTTTTAATGGGAAAACTCACTATAAATGGCCATTTTCAATAGCTATGTTAGTTTACCAGAGGGTATATACCAATTAATAGCGATATATGAAATTATATGATAATCAATGAATATATGGCAATGTTAATAATTTTAGTAGGGAACATGAGGATTATACAACCATCATTAACCATCAAGTTTTGGTTGGTGCAGCGGAACCGTTAGATAAGAACGGATTAAGAATTGTCCAGCCTACTCTGGGGTTCTTAAGTGCTATAGGTGGAAAATATGGGAATTATGAACGAGGGTACCCTCAAGTTCTCAATGGGTTAGTTCTTAAGGGGTTCATATGGTGAGGGTTTTGCCAATTCATTTTGGCGTAGTATTAGGTTACAAAGGAGGCGGGGGGAAGAAAAAAACTTTTTAGGCTCCGAAAAGTTTTTCCAGGTGCAGGCATTCCAAACAAAGCTATAGGCCAGATATTCCACCACGCCAGGGTTTGAAAGTTTATCTTGGCGTGGTATGAGGTTGCAAAGGAGGCGGGGGGAAGAAAACAACTTTTTAGGCTCCGAAAAGTTTTTTCAGGGTTTGGGCGCCCGAAACAAGGCAGCACAGGCAAGACAAGCCAAGACAACCCAAGGGCAGCCTCTGAGGCCAGGTGACCTACAGTGAGTCTGGCTGGTATCTAGCTGAAGCTGTCGACGGTGACCATGTAAAGGTTCGAATCTTCCTGGGGCTGCACCATGTTTGTCCTCGGCATGGAAGTTCCGCGGTGCATAATCTTTCTTTTGGGAAATAGCTGCTAATAATCAACGTTTGGTATATTGATACCTGTTAAAAAGATTTAAAAGGGGGAATAAGAACCAGCGGCTAGAATTCAGGGGTACCCAAGGGATCCCAAGGGTTCTCATTTCAATTAGCTGACAGAAAGGGTTGAATCCAGCAATCCAGCCCCGGAAGTTCTTATTATTTATTGCAGTAGGTTCTTAAACAGTGGTTTCACTGTGCCCTATTCTCGATGGAAAGACTTTCGGGGAATGGGACGACCCAACATGTTGAGCCGAGGCTTACTGTTCACACTGGATTTTTGGAGTTTTCCCCATGGGGTAAACCTACAGATGTGGAAAAGAAACATGGTTTCTTTATGTTTATTTAGGAACATGATCTACAAATACAAATGCTGGGCTTCCCACATCCATGTTAGTTTACAGGAGGCTTGCCCCAGCCATTGCAGGATTCCAGTTGCGACTGGGAAACGAACAGAGGCCAGAACCGGTGCAACGATAAACGAAGTGAACTGTGGGATAGATATGCTTTGATTTGCTGTGATTAGATAGACAGATAGGTAGAGATAAATTTCAACATCTAGAATCTAGAATCCGTGTTACAACAAATGAGCATCATGGCAGATAAAATACCCTAGAGATGTTTGGGAGCAATATTGTTTCAATCCCTCGTTTCGAAAATACCTCCATTGCAGCAACAGACCAAATACTCCATACCTGGTCACTGGTCTTTGTATGTATCAGGGTGAATATATGTTATATCACACCCGTTTATCAAAGTTTATCAACTAGGGACTGGGGAGTCCCCAAACTATACAGCCTCTGGTTCCCCACAAAGTTTAGTTCGATGATTGTCCCATTAAATGCGAATTGAGTTTGGGAATTTCGCAACTTGCCATGTTGCAAGACCCCCGAGGATAAATGGCTTATATAAATCCCATTGAGATCCCATTGTATCCCATATCACCATGATATTCCAGAAGTTGTTGGTTAATCTACCATTAATCCGGCACTATACCCCACTACATTTATATATATATATATATATTCACCATAAAATCACCATTGAATCAACAAATCCAGTTATTATCGGCCTAGATACCCTTGTATCTCCAATTCTAAGCTCCATGCAGCTCCTTTGGATCAGCTCGGAGGTGTGGTTTGATCCCCTGGACGGATGCGCGCAGGGCGTGTTTGGAGGATGCCTCCCTGGCAGCCGCATATCCCACGGAGGTGCCATGCGGAGTGGTAGAAGATCATCATCTTTGGTCATAGTCGTGTCTTGATAGACTAGGGGCTTCTGAACTTCTGAAATGATTCGAATCTCTGGATTATTTTGGATTGCTCTTCTCCTTCCACAAAGACTGAGTGTCAAGTGCAGCCAAAGACTGGAGACACCATTCAGCACCCAACAACATGATGTTGTTGTTTTTGTTTTTTTTGTTTTTTTCGCACCAGACAGGGGTTGACTTGTCTGAAGGATACTGAATATGCGTCCTTCCGGAAAGACTTGCTAAAACTTGGAGCATTTGTGGGGGCTCTCAGCTGGCACAGCAAGTGCTGAGGTGGCATTCAGATGACAATCAGCAGTCCTTCATGCTAAATATGGTACCCTGTAGCAGTCTAGACCGGAACAAAATCCCAATGGTTTATAGGACAATCATCTGTACAGTGTGCGTTATCCAGCGCCAGGATATCTACCAGAGGGTTTTCTGATAGGCCAAGGCAAAGACATCACATCCAGTCAAAAAAACGGAACGATAGTACAAGGTTCAAACTGCCCCTTCACAAAGTCCAGCAACACATTTCTTCATCCCTTCATCCGCCTCAGTCACCTCAGGACAGTCTGGATCTCTGATTTTCACAGACGCAATGTCCACAGCCTTTGTTGATAGCAATGTTAGGGTTATGCATGGTGTGAAGTTATGCTGCATCATGCTTCTTCAATAACTGTAAAAATCCAAGTCGCCGTGGTTTCATGGACTTATTCAAGATCGGTATTTACACAGTTTACCCTCTGGTAATTTAACGTAGCTATGGAAAATCACCATTTTTAATGGGAAAATCCACTATTAATGGCCATTTTCAATAGCTACGTTAAATTACCAGAGGGTAAGTTTAAACAAAGAATTGGTTTCATGGAGAAACAGCGAATCCTCAGCTACAGCTCAAACGGATGGGTCGTCGGAGTCGTTGGCATGGCGCAGGCACCCAAATGGGAGCGGCACCATGGGAGTCTGATGGCGGGATAGGGTAGGATCCACTTGAACCCTCACAGCGACCTCACAGCACCATAGATAGTCCGTAGTTATAGAGACATAGAGGAACTGTCTTGAAAAACACCTTATCATTTTGTTTCAAGTTGCTTTTGTGTTTGTGAATTTTACTTACACAGTTAGAACACGACTCCAACTGCCATGGTGTAACCCCAAACTTGCGCGAGCTTTCGGGACTTTCGGCGACCGGCGACCGGCGAGGCTGGCAGAAGCGTCAGATTTCAGGAGGAGGAGGAGATCCATGAGCCTTGCCAGAGCAAACGCTGGGAGTTATTGGATCTATGGGTGTTTTTTTGAACCCCCACTGGGCTGAATCATGGGTTTGAAGCCATAGCCATATTTTATATATGTATATATACATATAAGCCATAGCCAGATTATATATATGTATACATATATATTTGTATTGATCCACATAGTGAGAATGATGGTATCAACAACAAATTGCATAGTGAGACCTTCGGCCCAACAGGATAGGATCATGGGATGGTTTTGGGTGACCTGCAGTGACCATTGTTGGCCAATGGGAGAAGCATTGCTGCCAGTGGTTGTCGGAGCTGTTTTTTAAAAAGTGTTGGTCCATTGGTGCATTGATGTTGATTGTTGATTCCGTTTGATGATTTTGGATGATTTTGGATGAGTTTGGATGATTTTGATGGTCCATTGCAGAAGGTTCTGACAACTTTCCATTTCACCCGGATCTCGATCTCTGCGCAGGTCGTCAACACTTTTCTCCAAGTTGGCAAATCGCAGAGGCCGATCCATGTCACCGGAGATCCATCCCACTAATCTTGAAGAAGAAACACTAATCACAAAATTACAGAAGATCTCAACTGCTGGTTTCAACATGTTTCAACTATATTCTTCAACATTTTGTGGGAGATATCCTGACATCATCATCCAACCATATCCAACCATTTTGTGATCCTGGCAGAATGATCCAATTGACTTAGCTGACATGGAATGTCTTCAAACCACGAAGATTTCTCCGGGGATGGCCGTGCTGATCAGAGGAATTCATTCCGATCGGAATAAAGACACATGAATTACTGATTGGTGGTTTGGAACATTTTTTTATTTTTCAATATATTGGGAATAATCATCCCAACTGACTTTCATATGTTTCAGGTGGCTCAACCACCAACCAGATATAATTAGGGCCAATCAATTTTGGATTTACAGCAGTTACAATCATAGGGTTGGTTTTAATTGGTGGGTATGTGTTGGGATTAATGCAGTTGGCTTTGAATCCCTCAAAACAGTGTACTTTAAATACCCGTGCCTTATTTAGTATAGCTATTATGGAAAATCAGCATGGTAATCAGTATTAATCATTATTAATCATTATTAATCATTATTAATCAGTATTAATCATTATTAATCAATTAATCACTATTAATCATGATGAATCATGATTAATCATTAATAATCATTATTAACAATTAATCATGGTAAGTTTATGGCATTAGGTTTAATGTGGGTAAAACAATGCCATAAACCACCCATGACTGAGAATGGTTTGTTTACACCACCTATAAAACTGGTGATGACTTGATGATGGTGCAAATAGCATTGTTTCACCCACATTACCACATCATATTCTGATTGGTGGTTTCAAACATTTTTTTATCTTCCATAGTATATGGGATAATCCTTCCCATTGACTTTCATATTTTTCAAGATGGTTTTAACCACCAACCAGCATTCACTCAACATGTCGCAAGATGTGTCGATCGCCGCCCTTCAGGATGGCCTGGAGAAAACACAGCAGCCACTCTGCACCTGCCGCAGTTCTATCCCAGGTGCATCTCCACAGGGAAAACATATCCGGAGCCATTTTTGTGCTTGTCCATGTTTCATGTCGCTGGTTTCAATATGTTTCAATAGTTCAAATTTGGGAGAGTGTATAGTTCGAAAGCAGTGTAAAGGTATGGTATCTTCTATTGGCGGTGATCCTGTATGCGCAGCTTCTTGTTAGGACGCTGCTTGACACCGGCACGCTTGGCAGGAGAATCAACCAAAACCAGCACCAGTGAAGTCGGATGAGGCGATTCTGCAGTAGTTGCTGTGGGTCTACTGTGTACCCTCTGGTAAATTGACAGTTTGACCCTGAAAATCACCTAGTTTGAGTGGAAACTCATCTTCCAAGCCCTATCTGCCTATCTGCCAGGGTCTGTGTTGATTTAGTGTATTGTGCATCTGGAAATGTGATGAACCTCAGATGTTGATTTGAACTTAGGTGATGTGGATGATGCCAAATATATATATCTCAAGCACATGAGATAACACATAGATCAGCGGTCGCAGCCACTGATGGAGGTTTGCTGCCTCGATCCTGATGTGTGCTGCGGTGTTCTTTGAGTTAAACTAAGTTGTTTTACTTGTTTTTTGTTGTGGGAACACACATGGTGATGTGTGCTTTTTAAAACAAAAAACGCAATTTTTTAGAATTATTAGTCTTCCATGTTCGTGGCGGTAATTACTGCTCATTTCACACCAGTGTTTGTTGGTGAATTCCAAATGTTTGATTGACCAAATTGTTGAGCATTCAATTGTGCAAGTTGTCTACCTCACCATGGCTCATACTTATGAGCAATCATCCCACAAAATGCCAACACAACTCAGTTTTCAATATTTTTCAACTTTAGTTTTATGACGAACAACATTTGAACAAATGCTGGGAGATGTAGATAAAATACAATTGAACAGTGTGAGATCTTTTTGTACCAGATCCCAAGGGGGATCATGATGAAATTGCTGAGTTTTTTTGGGGGGCTACCTTCTGGTAATCCACGATTATGCTATAGTAACCATGGCCCATTTAGTTCAATGAGTTTCGGTTTTTGAAGATGGGGATTTTCCAGTTTGCAAGCTGTAACATCTGTAAGAAATTACCTGAGGGTATATGCCAATACTCTATTAATATCCCATGAATCTTCCATCATATCAATTGTATCTCCATTAAACCAGCATTTATAGATGCTTTTCCCCACATCTTCGTGTGGGGTTCTTGTTTTTGGTCGTGCACTCCCGCCATCGTCCCGCGTCACTCCCGCCGCTCCTTCCTCACACACAACTCACTCACACACAACTTGTCCACACACAACTTGCTCACACACAACTTGCTCAGGCACTAGGCTGGCTCTGGTGGCACGCTTGGTTCCGGTTTGACGCCGTGGTCGCCGCGGCTGTTGGCGTGGCAGGCGTGGCACTTGGCGATATCGACTTTCCCTTTGCATGGCAGGCGTGGCACATCGTGGCACTCATGGCACTGGGCTGGCTCTGGTGGCGCGCTTGGTTCCCGTTTGACGCCGTGGTCGCTGCGGCTGTTGGCGTGGAAGGCGTGGCACTTGGTGACATCAACCTTCACTTTGCGTGGCAGGCGTAGCGTGGCACTTGGTGACAATCAGCGTCATTTGGCGTGGCAAGCTGGGTGCGGGACTTATAGCATGGGGCTGGTGTTTGCAATGCAGTCTGGAGCTTTTCTTGCAGAATCTGCGAGTATTGAAGTGCGAGGGCATGCATTTGCCAATGCTCTTTTTGGCACATGAGCAGCACATGCCAATGCTTCATTGAAGTTGCCGGGTGCGGCAGCAGATGTCTCGAAACCATTACTTTTTGAGCACATTCAGTGTTTTCAGCCGTGAACCAGCAGAAGTTGTTAATCATCAGAACACAGTCAGACATTGAGATGAATGTGGCATTAGCTTTCTGGCTCGCAAATGTCATGTCGCAGGTACTTGATTCGACGCTGTCACCATCTGACGCTGTTTTTGGCTCCTCAGCAGCACATGCCCATGCTTCATTGAAGGCACCGGGTACAGCAGGAGATTTCAAGGAACCAATGCTGCGATGCAGTGTTTTCAGTCATGAACCAGCAGAAGTCGTCAATCAGAACAAGATCAGACATGCACGAATATATCACGAATATATAATATATAGAACACTTTTTCGATCAGACATTGTTGCTTGGCAGGTGTTTGTGTTGGTGCTGCCACTGACTGCTCATCATATGCGGAGGTTCTACTGTTGCCCGTCGAAGTTGTGTGTTTGCACTGCAGTTTTGTCTTCATTTGTGGACTCTGAGAATGTTGATGTGTGAGGGCATGCATTTGCATTGCTCATTGGTTCGTGATGTTTTTTTGGCTCATTGGCAGCATATGCCGATGCTTCATTGAAGGCAATGGGTACAGCAGCAGATGTCGAGGAACCAACACTTTGAGCACTTTGAACCTGTTTCTAGTGGTGAACCACC